TGACACTGAAATTCAGTGTTAAATATTACTTTAGGATGGTGTCAATCTATCCAACTAGCACAAGGAATCCTTTCTGCCTTGATTTAAGCTGCTTTAAAAAAAAATCTCATGCCAAGTATACAGAAATAGTCTGTAATTGGGATTCCAGCAACCACAGTGCACTCTCTCTCAATTAACATCCTGTCAAGATAGCAAAATGTTTCTAAGGTCAATTTATGATTATTCTTTCTTTAGCCTTGTACACCTTTTCTACAAAGAAAAGCACAGCATCCAGGGCAGTGATAATATATATTAGCACTGTGATAAGCTTCCATCCACTTGTAGAATTTAAAATTCCACATGGCCTATCTCTTATCCCTCTTGGAAGGAGAGCACATTCATATAAATATATATAGTCCCCTGAGATAACAGTTACAGCTGAAACATGCAGCTCTGCCTGTATATGTCTTCCTACTGCAGAGCCAGGAAATATTAAAAGTTGTTACCAACAAAAATATATACTTTGATCAGCATATTTGCTGGAATTGGGATATAAATTCTCATCTGCTGCTTGATCTTAAACCACAATATACACAAAACTCAATATACACAAATAATAGGTGTTAACAGTTTCAACACTTGTGTTTCCATTGTACCAATTCCTGAACAGAAACAAGGCTGTAATAAGGCTCCTTGAAGTTTGAAAGTCATATACAGCTTGGCTTGTGTTGTAAAAACTAAATATCACAAATTTGGACGGAAGCAGAAGACCACTTAGTCCAATGACTCTAGTAGGGCTAGTCATCCAGTCACGCAGCACGCCACAGATCGATATAAATATGAACAAGACAGCCCACAGTGTGCTAAAAGCACACAATTGTGGATCAGTCCTTCTTTCCAAATGGAGCTCTGTTTATGCTCATGTCAGTTCCAGTTTTCTGACTATCTATTCCTTAAGAATAAATACAATTTTATAATTGTATTTTATTAATTGCAGCCAGAGTGGGTCATCAATTTATTTATGCTGTTAGCCATCCAGAGACGTTAGTAATTGGACAGCATACAAATTTAAGAAAGAAAGCAAGCAAGCAAGCAAGCAAGCAAGCAAGCAAGCAAGCAAGCAAGCAAGAAAGCAAGAAAGAAAGCAAGAAAGAAAGCCAGCCTGCCTGCCTGCCTGCCTGCCTGCCTGCCTGCCTGTATAATTCTGCATACTGACTTATTGGGACACAGGCCTGTTTGGTTTTTGTTGTTTATAGAAAAAATAGCATAGTTACTTTGTGTTCATAACACTGAAGCCACCAAAGTAAAATATTTAAAGCTAAGTTCAATCAACATTCTTACAATATGCCACTCCTTTGCAATTTATTATTGATATATCCCAGACAGCCTTAAAAACTTGATGAGAATTCTCCCTTTCACTTCCTGGAATGGCCACTGGGAAAAAAGTAGTTTGGCATGTGTCAGAAAACAAGAAAAGTCAGAGAGGCAAGGAATGGAAGCTGAGGGGAGAACAAGCTAGTTCACCAGACTACTATCAGCATTTCATCCCTGACTGAGAACATTCTTGCTGGCTGGAGGAATTTAAAAACAAGGACAACAGCCCTCAATTGTATCCTTTCCTGGTTGCTTACCAGATAGCCACCCAGTCTGTGATCTGTACCATAATAAACACTGATCTGTATCATGTTAAGCATTGCCTTTTAATGAGCAATGGAGCAAAACTATCCCAGTGTTTTTATCCTGCAATGGATATCACAGCCACAAGGACAAATCCAATTTTACTTAAATCAAACCCTATAAGCATGAGGCTAGATCTATAATAGCTGCTCATTCTAACTTTTCACATTGATTGCAACAGAACCCATGTATAAATCATGATGCCCATTATACCTCTCCTCTGTGTCTGCACAGCACAAAGCAAGACAGCAGTACTAAAATGACAAGAAGAGGCTCTAGTTTAGGTTCCCCTTATTTGGATATGGGTGCCACAGTAGGAATGTGTGACAGGACTTGACTGCAAAGCCCACACTCAGTATTCTTGAATCTCTGGAGGGCACCATGCTGAAGAAGGCCAATCCAGTCCTTGTAGCTAGATCCAGCTTTGAGTCCTGAAGCAACAGAACCACGGAAACCAGTAGTCATTTAGCAGCCAGTGGTCATCTCGGCTTAGATGCCAAATTCACGTTCTAGAATATCCCGCCCATGTTCTTCATGCAGCTGCCCGAAGCCCACTTTGTAACAGGCAGTGTGTGCACTTATGTTCCCAAATGACAATGAAAGAAAGTTGGAGGCCTACTGCAACAGGGAGGGCTTACTCTGTAGTGGAAAACAGAAGAGATAACACCACTTCTGAGATAAAAGGAGAAATGGCAAGGAAAGCTGCCTAAAGCAGCAGTCCTGCAACAGTCCACACACCATTGGTCTATGGGAGTTGCAGTCTAAAAACACCTGGAGAATCACACGTTCTACATCACCAATAGGTAGTATGAAGAATGTTAAAGCTAATAGGAAATTGGTTAGTTGATAACGTCTAGCAAACCCATGTAGCCTTTGAACCGATGAAGATTTCTGTGAGTTGTTACACATTCAGAGATCATCTGAGCTAAGGCAAAAGTGTTTGCATGGATTATTGATACCATTTGCATTTGAATATTACAATAATATCCATTTTCAATTTTACTGAAGTTTTTGCAGGATTGCACATATCCAATATCCTCAATTCAAGAGTTTTTTTTCTTTATGAAGAATTTCTATGATACATGGAACACCCCACCAATACCACTTCTCCCAAACTTTTTAAATCCAGGAAAAGCTTAGCTAATAAGATGGATCATAATGAAACAGTCATGATTACCATCAAGGTCAGTGTAGAGCAGAAACATTTGAATGCACAAGTAAACGCCTTACAACTAGCCTGTGATTTTCCTTCATATTAAAAGAGCAATTGCCTAAGATCAGTTTAATCAGTTTTGACAATCATTAGCAATCCATCAAAATCCAAAGTCCTTAGTCTAGTAAACAGGAGGTGACATTTTGGAATCAATTTATCATTTATCAAAGTTCCTTACACTCTTCCTATCAGAAAGAGTGTGGGGGACGGAAGGAGCAAGCTGGATAAGAAGAATGAATCAAACATGCATCACCAATTACGAAGATATACCTTCTCCAAACAAAGAATGAACACAAAGTCAAGTTATCCTCAGTGTCCTAACCAGCAGTTTACTAGGAAGAAGGAAAAGACTTCTTTGGATGTGAGCGAGCACTAAGTTGTTGCAAGTCCACTTCATAACCTGTACTGTTTTGTTTTGTTTTTGCATTAATTCGTGAACCAAGCAGTTACATGAAGCACTATCACGACATGTCTCTGATTTTAACTGTTCTCTCCTTCCAGAGCAGAACAGCAGCAGTCTCCACTGTGTGACCCAAGGCTAATTCCATCCCCTTTATTGTATCCAATATCTGTGGATTGCTTTTGGATTGTAAATCTGGTTAACCCTTAATAGGTGCTTTCTGCCCTTGCCTTCCAGCGAGCCAATACTGCATGTGTCGCCTTCCCTATCTAACACACTCTTAAAGGAATCCCTGTTCTAGAGCCAAGCCAGGCATGTATAGCAATGGTGTCTGGCAGGCTTCAATGTCAGCTATTGCCTCTGCTGACTCCTGACAACAGGAAACATTTCTGAGGCATAAGGGAGGGTGAAAAGTTAGCTGAGTCCTCCTTCAGTCCTGCCACTTGCATACACACACCTTTCCAGGTGAGCCTGGCCTTCTGCAATAGATCTGCAATGGAACTTTCAGTCGGCTTGGACACACAGAAGGTGGCAGCAGCAGTATCACCCATCATCCTGCTCTGGTGTCAGCTGCCCAATGCATTACAATTCCTTCCCTGGTCTAGCACACTCTGTAACCTTTCCATCAATGATGCAGAACCATTCATGCATCCCATCCAAACAGGCTTCCAGTCATTCACAGCCAGCATCTCCACTGCACTTTCTCACAGCCAATACTTTTGCATATTTTGTCTTCGTTCCCTGCACGCCTTTCCTATCTCCATCCTATTTTCAAGCTGCTTGAGGCTAGTTTCAATGCTTTCTGGCTTTTCTTCTCGTGGATGGATCTATGTGCATGCTTTTTTAAATATTTCTCCATGAACTTAACACAGTGCCCTGCCCTTTGACACACTCACAGTCCAACCTGTTAACAGCTTCCAGCAGAAGCTGTTGAGGATCGGGAAAGGAGCTTCAAGGAAAAGATTCCTGTGTCATCAAACTGAGAAAAAGAGCCACTCAGTCCACACCGGAGGCACACGTTATCTAGACCCGATGCATATTTACTCAGAAGTAATTCCCTATAAAATAAGTAGAGCATTGCACCCCTAAGCGCGCTTAGAATGGCATCGCAGCCTACAAAGGAGGATAAAAAGGTGGCGGGTCTCTGTCACTCCATCAATGCACGTCGGCCGATAAACGTCGTGTTTTGGTTTGGTCTGGGTTTCCTTTTGCCAACATGGGTGAACGTGAGCCTAACATCAGATCGTGGGAAGCGCCCGCCTGGTGCCTTCAGGTTTCTTGTCAAGCCGGATCGCGCCCACATGCACGCTCGAGTGGGCTTGCTGTCCCTACTGGCACATCCGCGACTGAGCCCGGAGGCACAGCGGACGGGCCCGGGCTGCACGCACGCCTCCCAAGAGCCCACCGGTGCCTCCGCCGTCATCCTCCACACCTCGGCGGGCGAGCGCGCAGCGGCCAACGGCGCACGGAAGGCAAGCCGAGTCTCCAGCCGCCTCCCGCGGAGGCGGCGGCGGCGGCAGCAGCGCGGAGGCGAGCGCACTCCCGCTCGCCCCCGCCGCCCCGTCCTGGCCCCCACCTTGCCCGCCCGGTATCGCTACAGCAACGAGGAGAGGCTGCCGCGGCGGCGCTTCCCCAGCTCGGCCGCCCGGGCGCGGGCGGACAACGGCGAGAAGAACCGAGCCGGCCGGGGGAGAGAGACGGAGGGGGCGGCGCGGCTGTCTCGACACTCACCCCGAGCTTCCTGCTGCGGATTTTCACGTAGCCTTGCTTGACTATGTCGTTAAAGTTGGAGGCCATGTCCGGGGCGCGGGGGCCACGACGTCCCCGATCCGTGCCCGGGGTCGCCGCCCTCCGCTGCCGCCGCCGCCGCTCCTCCTCCGCCCCCTCGTCCTCCTTCTTCCTCCCGCCGCCGCCGCACACCTTCGGCCGCCGGCTCCCGAGACGCCTCTGGCATCCAGGCGGCCCCGCCAGCAGCGGAGCAGGTCCTCTCGTGCTGGCCCAGCGCAGCCCACCGCGCCTCCTCTCGCAGCGCGCCGCGCTCAGCTCCGGAACGCGGGCGGCGGAGGAGGCAGGACGCGGGCGAGCGGCTCTTTTGCCTCGGGGAGGGAAAGGGGAAGGGGCTCGGGCTCCTTGCCCCCCGCCGCCTCCGCCGCCTCCGCCGCCGCCGCCTGGAGCAGCTCCGCTGCTCTTCCAGCTGCGCTGTGCGTTCCTTCCCTGGGCAGCTCCCGCTGCTCTGCCGGCACCTAGAGGCTTCGGAGCTCCCCGCGCCGCGCCACCTCCCGTAAGGCGAAGGGGAGAAGAGCGCACGGGGAGGGCTTCCCGTTGGTTCGCTTCCTCCCTTCTCCTCCTCCTCCTCCTCCTCCTCCCCTCCTCCTCCTCCTCCTCCTTCTTCTTCTTCTTCTTCTTCTTCTTCTTCTTCTTCTTCTTCTTCTTCTTCTTCTTCACTTTCCTCTTTCTTCCTCCCTCCCCTTCCCCTCCCCTTCCCCTCCCCGTCTCCCTCCTCCTCCTCCTCCTCCTCCTTCACTACATCGCCGCCAGACGAGACTGGCAGAGAAAATGTCAGCTCCCCGCTTCTGCTCCCGTTCCCAAGCTCATTCTCTCGTTTCCCTGGCAGTCACTCACTCCCAGCCTCGTCTCCCAACGAGGCGCTTCTCTCGATACCAAGTCCGGACTGCATCCGAAGGACCCTGCCCTGCCCATTCTCCAGTCAGACGACCCTGCTTCCCAAAGCAGACCCCCCCTTCTCCGTCTGATTTACTTTGCTCTCTCTTGCGGTATGAGAAACTTCTGTATAAAGGAGAGCAAAACATCCATATCCGTTCACCTGTGCTCGCTGTCCCGATAGCGACAAACGGATGATGCTGAGTGCCCAACACGATCACTATCACTTTCCTGAGAAGAAAGCCTTTCAATGGGACTTACTCTCTAGTAAGCAAGTTTTGGTAGCCGCCTTACAGGGCAATCCTGCCCTCTCACTCTACTGAGAGCCACGGAACTGGGCTGCAGCCTCTTGAGCACCACTGAACCCAGGAAACTTCTAAGTAAGCATGTACAGGACTGCTGAAAGAGAATGACATGTGCCGTGTAAGTCCTGGTCATGCACTTAGCACGGTGTGCCGGAGTGGGACTTACTCCCAGCTAAATGTGCTTAGGATTGCAGACGATTTCTTTCAACATCAGAGAAGAGTTCTTGGGTATCTTTCCTGACTGGTGCAGCAAGAAAGGTTTACTCAGTGATGCCAAACAGAGAGCAGTAACATCTTTGTAATGCCCTGATTTGCATGGAAGAAGACTGGATTCAGAAGGCATATTTCTAGCCAACCTTTCTGCCCATTAGGGCCTGCAAAGCCACTTGTAGCTACACAAAACTACACCACAACCATAAAATGGTAAATACCAAATAAACCAAATAAAAAGAGGCAACAACCTACCCAGAGTTAAGTTCCAGCAATTTCCATGAGAGTTTTAAATACAGACATATTTCAGTCCCAATTAACTCAATGATTGAAAGTTTTCATTTATTTATGGGATGCATACCTGGGGACATCAAGTTCCTATGGTGATACATAAATAAAGCAATTGATCAGCAATTTTGAAAGGTGCTAGAGGTAAAACCCATATGTATAAGTGTTATTTTTTCAACCATTTTAGGAGCACATCTTGCAATATAAAGTAACTGGGTATAAGAACCCACTCACCCAGATGCATCATTCTTCCTCCACAGAGACTTCTCAACATCTTTTTTCCCCTGGCAGAACTTTTGTACCTTTAATAGCTATAAAAGTCAAATATCACTTCCAAACTTACAGGTTCAATGGTCTTCCACTATGCAGAACCTATGAGAAACAGTGCAGTTCTCTGCCTATTGATTCAAAAGTAATCCCTGTTGAACTTATTTCTAGGCAAGTAAGTAACCCAATTGTAACATTGTTGCATCAAGTCAAAATATGAACACATGCTCAAACATATATTGAAAACATCTGGATGTTCAGACAAATTCCAATAATGGAACAAGGGTGTTCCTCTTCAGTCTCTCCAGTATTATATAGTCATGATCGCAAGACCTGTTCTGTTAGGGTTCCCAGTTGTGTGGGAAGCCAATGTGTATTCAGTGGTGAGGCTGTGGACTGTCCTTTCAAACATCACTCTGATCCTGTGAATATCAAAGGGAGGTTCCAATGGGGCCAATGAGAGGGGGAAGCACGGTCCTGGTGGCCTTTCTTGTGTTGGATGGATTGAGCACCCCCAGTGAGAAACAGAGGAATACAATGGCTTGAGAGTGGCACTGTCTGGAATAAAGGAATGAGCAAATGGTGTCAGTTTCAGAACAAACAGCTTGCATAGCAAAGAAATGACCAGAGTCTCATTGACTGGAATCAAGGCAATGTAGCATGTGTTTCAGTGTCATTCCTAATGAAATAAAATTAACACCATACTGGGAATCTATACAAAGGAGAAAAATGCTTCAAAGGAAGAGAAATTGTTCCTTTGAGAATTCATTCACAATGTTATTTATGTAGTTTTGTATATGCATGAATGCATATGCGCTTCCATACACATAGCACCTTTAAATGTTCCATCCGTTAAACAAAAACAACAAAAATGTGTGAATCCTTCTTGGGTAGGAACAAAGAACTCTTATATAGTTTCAGCTCATTTATCTACTCTACTCTGCCAAGTCATAAACATGTTGTTATAATGAACCTTAAGGCAGTTGAGTGTTTGTATTTGCAATAATACAAGAAGTTGGGATAGGGACCTAACAGAGGAACAACATATAGATAATTGCTTATTTGCATTATCTATATGTATTTATTTCCTATTCTGCCTTTCCACTACAAATGGTGCTTAAGACAGCTAATAAGAATAAGATACATGTGGATATATGTAGTGCAAGCAAAAAACCAACCCAATTAATATAATTTCATATAAAAGACAATAAACAGAACGTACCTCAGCAATGGCTCCTTAAATCCTGTTTGAATACAAACATCTTTGCCTGCTGGTGGAGTGACAACAAGGATGGAGAAGGTGGCATTTCAAAGAACCTAGGCATGAAGGTGCAGGGAACTCAGCCTCAGGGCCAAATTCCATTTTGGAGGCGATCTGTAGTGAACGATGCTGGAGGAGGAAGAGTGAGGCCACCCCCATGCCAGTATATTGTATCTTAAAGCTCTTTTTTAGAATTACTTGGAAGTAGAATGGGGTGGGAGGGTGGGTGGAATTGCACATAAGCTAGGAAATCACCACATGCGGAGAGGGGGTTGGGGTCTTTGGAGGCATTCTGATATGCTGGCCTGGAATCCCTGGAAAGATGGATCTGGACTCCTAGGCATTTGGCATAACTTTGCACCTGTTGATATTTTTTTGAAGCAGCAGAAAAATTGTACCACTTTGTTATCAACATGGAATATGTAGCTCAACTGAGTCTGTGGAGGTGCTAAATATAGCTTTCTTGCACTTCAGACATGGTGCACCTTGATTCTGCTTTTGATAAATTGGGTGATATTTATTCCTATTTTGGATGCATTAAATGGAAAAGAATTGTATCTAATGTTAGCCTACCTTTAATCCCATGTGTTCCATTGGGTCTACTCTTACTTTGAATGCCGCCTAATCAATGCATGTATAACAACATGGATGATATTATGCACCACCTAATATTGTTTAAAATGGTTTATCAGAGTGGTTTGCACTTGCATGCACTTCTATTAAAAATATTATTGGATAGCTCTGCATGTGGTTAAACCCAGGCTATAACATAGCTTTACAGGTGCATATACATTTACTTGAGGTTATCCTATCTGTTCTCTCTTTGTACAGACCACGTGTTATCCACATGGAGATCCTTCTAGGAGCTGCATACATTAAAGAGTAGGACTAACATTTCTGGACCAACCTCCTTTGACAGACTGTGAAATGACAGAGATAAGTTAAAGCTGCAAAGTGACAGCTTAAGGAATCAGGTATGGTGTCAAAGGATGGCATTATTGGGCACCTTTCAAGAGCATACCTCAATTAGGGGTCCCAAATACAAGAGACCCAGGAACCTGATTGTCCACCTGCTTCTTGCTCCGAACAGACAACAGGGATGGTGTGAAGGAGATGCAGCACATGTCACCCTCTGTTTGCTCATCACTCCCCTACCTGATAAGCAGGTAGGTGGTAGCAGTAAGGAGGAAGAGGAGAAATAACAGTTGACAACAGTGCTAATGGGTTGTAAGATTCACTTATGATTAGGGGCCCATTAACAATGACTTGGCTAAAGGATTTCTGAAGCATGAAGCCAGCACTGGCAAAAGCATGTGAGGAAACAAACCGGCTCCCTCCATTTCTATACTGTAAATTCCTTTCTCCTGTTAATTTGCTTAAATGGAATCGTTGATGCCAACTTTTCCAGCATATTTAATTTTTCTTGTGTCTATACCACATGAGCCAGTATAATGCAGTGGTTAGTGAGTTGGATTGGGATTTGGGAGATCCATACTTACAAGGAGCTCTGTCTCTCTCTTCTCATGAAATTCGCTGCCTTTCAACTCCGTGGGGGGAAGGGCTTTCTGTTTTTTCTTTCTTTATGTCCATTAGTAAGAAATGCAGCTTTTTTCACGGGTATCATTGCAGAAAAAAGAAATAAAAATAATTCCCAATAAATCTGATGCTAATAGCTAAAGTAGGCTAAACGAAAAAAAGTATGCTGATGACTTGCAGAGAGCTAAAATCTCTCCTGTACCATCCGGCTGAGAAAAGCTTGATTTTCTCCCAATAAGCGCAGAATTGCCATTCCACAGCATCTGGGAGTTTTGCCAAGCAATCTATCTTCACCCCTACAGGGCTTAAATTGAGCCCCCGCGGCCCACCACCGGACAGTTACCAGCGTGATAACGGAGGTTCGTTAATCACGTCTGTCTCATCCTGATGCCATACTTGAATCACCCGGGATTTGGGAGATCCAGGTTCTAGTTCCCAGTAAGCCATGAAACTCACTGGGTAGGTTTGCGCCAGTCACTGATTCTGAGCCAAATCAACCTTACAGGGTTCTTGTGGGTATAAAATGTTGATGAGCAAGAGGAATATGTAAGTCACCTTGGGTTAATTGCAGAAAAAGGTGTAATAGAAATATAATTAAATAAATGAAATTAAAAATAAATATAATAAATAACTGGTGTATAACAGAGTATTATATATGCTATATATGTGGTTAATAATTAATAGATAAAAGAAATACATAAAACT